CAGAGACATCAATTGACAAATGAGGACAACTACAAACCAAAAAGAGGGAAAAAACTGTCGTTATAGAACTTGTAGATGGTAGGGAAGTCAAGACAACTATAAGATAGAAGATCTAAACCTGGGAAGAAAACTACAAATCACAGGTAACCTCAAAGAAAAATGATCAACCTTCACATAAAAAAAAAAGACCAGCATAAATATTCAACAAATACTAAAACAGTAGCAGCAAAGGAAATGATAACATGATTCATAAACAAAACGAGCTCAGCATAGAAAATTATATGTAATAAAGAAATGGACACCACGAAAAAGCTCATAACAAAAATGACAGCAACAAATTCATATTTGCTGATAATTACATATCTGGCAAAGGACTTATCTCTAAGATTTATAGCAATCCAATTGAAAAATGGGCAGAAGACATGAATAGACACTTCACCAAGGAAGATATTCAGGCAGCCAGCAAATACATGAAAAGATGTTCATGATCACTGGCCATCAAAAAGATGCAAATCAAAACAATGAGATGGTGGGGATGTGGAGAGATTGGAACTCTCATACACTGCTTGTGGGACTGTGAAGTGACACAGCCACTGTGGAAAGCAATATGGCAATTCCTTAGAAAGCTGGAATTGGAGATACCATTTGATCGAGCAATCCCATTACTAGGTATATATCCTAGAGAAGTGAGAGCCAGGACGGATACAGATATATGCACACTCATGTTCATCGCAGCACTATTTACAATAGCAAAAAGATGGAAACAACCTACGTGCCCATCAGTGGAAGAGTGGATGACCAAACTGTGGTACATACACATGATAGAATGCTACGCAGCACTAAAGAATAATGTTATAGAGTCTGCAAAACACTGCATAATATGGATGGACTTGGAGGACATTATGCTAAGTGAAATGAGTCAAACACAGAAGGACAAATACAGTGTTAGTTCGTTGTTGTGGAGGGTCAAGGAAAGGTTTATATTTGGAGGGAAACTTTTTTTGTTGGTTGCCAGGAGTGGGAGAGAACACTGGGGGTGGGGAGAATATATATATATTGACCCATGTCACTTTAGTTTTGTGTATTTCACTGTACATAAATTATATTTCAATAAAATGCATTAAAATATGTATATATAAAGAAAGATAAAACAAGCCATAATGATGGCTAAAAGTTTTAAAAAATAATGTTGATGGGGATGTGGGGAAATTGGAACCCTTACCTCTTGCTAGTAGGATGCAAAATGGTACAACCATTGTGGAATCAGTGTGGCAGTTCCTCAAATGACTAAAAATAGAACTCCCATATAATCTAGCAATTCCACTCCTAGCTATATACCCAGAAGACTTGAAAAACAGAGACAGAGACCCAAAAGACTTGAAAGGCAGAAACAGAGACTTACACAGTAATGTTCATTACAGCACTATTTACAATAGCCAAAAAGTGACAGAAACCTAAATGTCCTAAAAGCCAACTAGATAAACAAAATGTGGTACATACATATAATGGAATACTACTCAGCCAGTAGGAGAAATGAAGTGTTGATACATGCTACAGTATGGATTGAGCTTGAAGATATTATTCTGAATGAAATAGATCAATCACAAAAAGACAAATATTGTATGACCTTACTTATATTGAAAAAGACAAGGAAAGGCTAATGTATAGAAAACATATTAGTGATTACCAGGGTATTGGTGGGGGCGGTAAGGGAGGGGTTAACAGTGAAGGAAATACCAAATTGATTGAGGGTAGGTTAAAAACCAAAAAACCAAACTCACTGCCGTCAAGTCAGATGTGACTTATAGTAACCCCTCCTTGGGTTTCTGAGGCTGTATCACTGCAGTAGTAGATTGCCCAACTTCCCTTCCAAGGAGTGGCTGGTGGGTTTGAACCGCCAGCCTTCTGGTTAGCAGTCAAATGCCTTAGGCACTACGCCACCAGAGGTGGTTATTGTAATTACTGTTAATAAGTTACACAGTTGTAAAAAGTTTAATTGACAGAAATTGTGTGATATATTTTCAACAATGACAAAATGTAGCTTCTGAGGCTGCTTAGGCAATCTAAAACCTTCTGGGATTTGGTTTCTTGGTTTGGAGGTTTAGGGTCATTATTTCATTGGCCTAATTAACATGCTTAGTGCTTCTGTTCTACCTCCTAGTTGTAATGGCTAGGGTCTTTGAAGTTTGCAAGTGGCCATCCAAGACCCAACAGTTGGTCTCTGTTTACCTGGAAAAACAGGAAGAAGGAGGATATGGAACCATGTGGCTAATTGCTTCCATGAACAACTAACTGCCTTCTTTGCCATGGGACCAGAACTGAATGGTGCCCCCTGTCATTATTGAATGTTTTGATCAAAGGTTCCATAGAAGAATCCTGATCAAAAGGGAGGAAGTGCAGAACAGCATTTCAATTTCTCGTAGAGTGCAGATTTCCTGGAGCTATGAAGGTTATATGAACCCCTAAAGCTGTTGCCCTGAGATAATCTTCAAACCTTAAACCAAAAATAATCTCCTGAAGTCTTCTTAAAACCAAACAATAGTTTAGCTTAATTAGGGGGGGAAAAATCTGCCTTGAGCATTATACTCTTAAGAACTGTCTACATGGAATCAAACTGACAACAGCAACTTGAAAAATTAGGCAGGAACCTTAGGGGGCAGTGAATTTATGTTGATGGGGAAAGAACAACTCAGAAAAGGAGGGTAAGAAAGGGTTACAACATGAAGAATGTAACCAGTGTCACTAAATGGTACATAAAAAAACTGTTGAGCTGGTGTATGTTTTGCTATATATATTCTCAACAACAAAATAAGTTAAATTATTTTTAACAAAAAATAAAAAACCATAATGAAGATCACTGGTGACCTGGTCATCTTCTAATACACTGTCAGGTGAAATTGTAATCATGGGCCAGGATTGACAAGTTACAGTAAATTCCTATCCCATTTTATTATTGATTCTGGTCTTTATATTAATGATACAGATATAAATTGCTCCAATCACAATTGGTGTTATTGATTAATTGTGCTCTGTAGTCTGTGTAAAGACAAAGGGGCCACCAGAACATCCTGTGTCTGTATTCACTTAAGAATGGGATTAAGTAGCATTTTGATGAGTTCTTTGAAGGAAATTTGTTGTTGTTGTTGTTGTTTGCCGTCGAGTCGGCCCCGACTCATAGCGACCCCTCCTTGGGTTTCCGAGGCAGTATCACTACGGAAGTAGGATTGCCCAACCTTCCTTCCGAGGAGTGGCTGGTGGGTTTGAACCGCCAGCCTTCTGGTGAGCAGTCAAGTGCCTTAGGCACTATGCTACCAGAGCTCCTTTGAAGGAAATAGAAACTACTATATTATACTTGTATAGAATGGATAAGACCTTATTCTCAAGAAGTTTGCTTCTCTTTAGCTGAGCTGACCAAACCAATCCTATGAGAGGCTGTGCTTGGTCATAACCTGACTAGAAAACACTCTTGAAGCACTATTCTCTCCCACCCCTTGTTCATCTGAGGCATCGTGACCTGTCTGATGGATTGCTCTGCCTGGCAGCAATAGCAGCAGACACTGTCAGATCTTCAGAAGTGCCCTAGAAAGAAATACGGGCAGTGAAGAGTTCTCCTACTCACTTTGAGCAAATAGGGTTTAATTTAAAATGTGCACACCCTTCAGCCACTGCTGCCAACTTTGCAGGGGCATCTGCTGTTCCTTTTGACCCTTGACAAAATGAGAAATATATGAAGGGGAAATTTTATTTTTTCTTTCTGTAGGCTAATAGCATGGATGAAAATATATAGGAAACTGGAAACAACCGAATGTCCTAAAGTGAGTAACTAAACTATGGTGTAATCATACAGTGGAAGACTACGTAACAATGAAAACAAACAGACTACAATTATAGGCAGCAAGACGGATCAGTCTCACAGGTTTAGTGTTAAATAAAAGAAACAAGAATACATACTGTTTGATTCCATTTATAAGTCAGGATAGTGATTACCTTTGTGGAGAAGAAGAAAGGGGTAGTGACAGGGTGTAGGCGGTATGTGGAGCTTCTGGCACACTGGTAATGTTTTCTTTCTTAACCTGGAAGGTAGTGATGCAAATGTTAGTTTTGTGATAAATTATTGAACTGTTTAAAAACTAGATGTAAGTTTTTTTTTTATAAATATACACATGTATATGTGTCAAGGCTAAATCACAAATAAGTGTAGTAATAAAGAAACTATCTAGATGTGTAAATGAAGTTGCCAGCTAAAGCATTTAGATTTTTGCTGCTAAAAACCTATTATTGGCTTCGTGTGACTTAAAATAAATGTGAACGATTTGGAATTACATACAATGTAATCTAAACTTGGTATCACACAGGATGTTCTGTTCTCACCTATTCTATCCTCATGATTGTATCTTACACCAACCAAAATAACAAATATTTCCTTGGTTTGCTGTATTGATATTTTGTGGGGCTTCATGGCCAAGGTCAGTCCTCTTCTATTTACAAAAGTAAAAGTTTTAAAAGTTCACATTTATCTACTATTTTTCTTTAATGGACTTGAAAAGTTAAATTGACTGTCTGGTGTCATTCATTCAGAACATACCTCTTGAGTACCTCTTCAGTGCCTCATTCATGAATCTGTACACATTTAGATTTCTCAGCATTTAAGCACTTGCATAACTGAATTAATGGTAAGTGTGCTCACCATTCTGAAGTGAGATTTGTTGATCTGTGGTTTGTTCTTACTGTCTTATTCAGATGATTATGGATAAGTTGCAGTGTTTTGGGAAAATCATCCATCTTTGGACCTGAGTTTCCTCTTCTGTAATGTCTCCTTCCACCCTAGGTTTCTATGACTTCTTTTTTTCTACTATGTTTATTACAAAGATCTGAGTCATTCCAGTTCAAATATTTTAAAATATGTTTAAAGGTGAAGGCCTTTGGGCTTGTTGTATCATTTTATAGCAGTTAAATGCATCTCAGAATATTTTATTTGTAAATTCTATCTTTTATTCTAGGCTACACCCCAGCATTGGCCTGTGCTCCTAATAAGGATGTGGCTGATTGCCTGGCTCTCATTTTGGCCACCATGATGCCTGTCTCATCAAGTAGCCCTTTATCATCCCTGACATTCAATTCCATTAACCGATATACCAACACCTCAAAAACTGTCAGCTTTGAAGCCTTGCCCATCATGAGGAATGAACCTAGCTCCTATTGCAGTTTCAACAACATTGGTGGGGAACAGGAGTACTTATACACTGATGTGGATGAGCTCAATGACTCCGATTCCGAGACCTACTAAGAGGCTGAGCCGGAGGTCTAGGAGGGCATTCTGATACTAAAGCTTCAGACTGTGCTTTTTCAGGAAAAAAGGCCCTTTCTTTTTCACATGCAGATTCAACCTAAGAGGAAAGAGCGCAAAGTGAACGAATGTAAGAGATGTGATGACATTAGGAAGAAGAGTTATAAAGGCAAGTTTTGCAAAAGGATCTTCTAGAATCTTGAAATAGACTTGACCAGAACAAAACACTTTGTCACATTGCTTTGTGGAATTGTTTAATTTGGTTTTGCAGTGCCAGGAATAATTTAGGACACTGTGCACCCTAATCTGCTTACACAAGAAACACTATTGTAAAAGAAGAGATATGGACACTAGATTTAAATTTTCTCAATTAAACTATGACTAAATTTAAAGGCAATAAAAGTTTGGTACAGTAGGCATTATGTGCACAGCAAATTGCCAAAGGACCAAATAATTTAAAGGTTTTTTAATAGAATACCATTTTGTGGGAACTGGAGTAGGTGAAATGAGACATTATCTAAACCAAACTTTAATATTTCTGAAAAATAAAGCTGAGATTTGATTTAAAAACATTTTTTTTTAAGAAAACATCTAAAGGCCTTCCATACTGTATTAAACCATGAAAGTGGATGTATTTTTACATTTTGTTTCTTTTACATAAATAAAATTACAAGGTTCACAACATTAGAACTGAAAACCAGCTGACTGTGTGCAGTCAGGGTGAAAATACTTAATGACACAGATGAGAGACAGATTGGAATTGGGCTATTATTGCCCAGTTTCAAATGGTTTGAGTTTATAATTGAACTATGTTTGTTGAAAAATGTAAAGAATTTTCTAGAAAGAACAAGTTTTCATGCAAATAAAAAAGATTATTTTCACCCTGTTGCAGCTAAGAAGTCCCAGAGAATGGAATTTCAGCCTCACTACTTTGGATGGTAGACCTTCATCACTGATAGTCCTTTTGTGCATCCACAATGGGTTGGGGATTTTTTATTATGGTGGTTGTTTACTTTGATTTCTGAGTTATGATAAAATGAATGAAAAGGAAAAAATATCCTTTGTTACTCATAAATTAAACACCATCAGAACTCTTGGAAGGCATTTTTATAATGGGCAAGATTTAAAATACTAAAGCCTTTATTTAGGTCCTGTTCAGATTTTAATTTTATAACTTACTACTATTTGAGGAAAGAGGCAGTTGCCTGCAGAATGGGAAGACTGCCTTTCAAATAAAAAAAGAGAGAGAAAAAAGGCTAATGTTTAGGCTTTATAATAACAATTTATGTGATTCTACTTTTACTGTAACTCACTTTTCCTGGAAAAGTGATTTCATACATGTAGGGGTCTTACAGGCTTGGGTAAAGTTCCATAAATTCCAATGAAATGATACCCAATTTCATTTTATCTTTTTTGTATTGTGAAACTGGAAACTTTATGACATTGTAAATTATCAGCTGGTTTTTCTGAATATAAAGTGTGAAAACAGACAGTATTTTGATCTATTTGATAATTTTGTGGGGTTTTTGAAGAATTAATGAGCATGTACATAGAAATAGTGACTGCTTGAATACTGTATTTACTTGCACTCTTTCAGTACATCAAGATTCCTGTATATTTTAGAGTATAATAAAACACAGATGTGAGTTGTATTTAATGAATAAGGTATTTGTATCTGTCCATATTATCTAAAAACTATAAAGTTTCTAGGGCATTGACTACTAGATTTTAAGCATTTTTTTCTAAAATATTTACGGAAATTATAATTCCATCTTTTCTTTATAATATAAAGGAATCATAAAGAACTCTTCCTGATTATTAGTGGTAGGAAGGTGAATATGCATTTTAAAGCCAGTGGACTACATTTTCTATTGTACCTTTTGAAAAGAAAAGAAAAAAACTCAAGAGGATTCTAAAAGTATACATATGTGTGCTTTCTCTTTCCTTTTAGGAATTCTCTTCTGAATTCCCTGAGGGAATTTTGTAGAATCTCAGAATTGAAAGAGACCTGAGGTTCATCCAGTCTAACCTCTTAAACAATGCAGGAGTCCTTTCTACAAGGGTGATCTTTCCACCTTGAACACTTCCAGTGACTACCTCACCAAGCAGTCCATTCAGTTGTTGAGCAGCTCTAACTATTAGAAAGGTCTTCCTTAGATGGAATTGAAGCCTCCTTCCTGGTAACTTCTGTCATTGGGCCCAGGTCTGGCCTCCGAAAGAACCCTAAGAATGTTGGAAGGATGAATCTTGCGCTCTGTGCCATGTCTTCTCTTTATAGGATGCTTGACTCATCTGCTGAAGTAATTTCCAGAAAGACTTATTAGACACACTGTTAGATTCATCACATCTAATGGAATCCAGGGTGTAGCTATAAAGTAACAAGCTGTTTTTAATTTATTTTCACACATACCAGGACTTACATCCTGTTATCACTTATATGTAAATGATGCTATTATTGAAAACATTTGTGAGGTGGTTCTTGCAATTGCTAACCCACTAAGAAAACTGTTTCATTGCTTTGTAATTGCATCTTGTGATAGTCTGTCCCCCGGCTTGATCAGCCACCTCCTTTGGTCTTCAGCTGATGAGAGGAAATTCTGAACTACTGTCTCAAATAGTATTTGAACACACTAGTATTGTCGGAGTAAGTACATGGACTACTTGAATGAACACAGCACAGTAAGTTCCTTTATAGTTACACCTTGTATGTCACAAGCATTCAGGCCCTTCTCTGTAGACCAGTGCTACCAGTGTTTTTTATCCTCACACAGAATAGAAAAGCCTGTTTGCTTTTTTAACTTCTGCATGAAAGGTGACATCTGAAATATCTGATCTGTTAATAATACCAGCTTCTGCTCTTAGAACTACTGCGGGGGAAATGGTGATAATAGCAAATAATCTCCTTTAACAAGACACTCAACTCAGTGCCATTTAATTAGATCCAGGAGTCATTTAGTTCAGGAGATCTCTAAGTGTAGCTGTAAATTTGGGGTTTAATTTGGCCTATATTGGATCTTTTAAATGAAATAAAGTTTTTTAATGCAGTAAATCAGGTGTCTTTCTTTATTCCAGGCAAACTTTTTTCCCATATCTTAAAATGTGTGATTAATATTCAGTTATGACTAATTTAAAATACTGTTTCAGTTTTTACCTCTGTTAATGATTTTTCATTAAAGCTATTTTCATATTTAGATGAAACTTCCTAGATGGACTTTTCAAATAATGATCACTGAGCTACTATTTATTGCTTGTCTTCTGTTTACTTGAGCATAGGAATGGAGAGGAAGTATGCCCTCCGAGAGCTTACTGTTCCATCGTGGAAAGTAGAAAGTGCAGTTGAGGTAAGATGCATTACTAAGGAAGGTGGGAGAATAGCGAGACTACTTAGGGAGGGGAGGATCAGAACCAGCTTCCTGGACAGGTGGCATGTAGGCGCAAATAAGATTAAGGCAAGTAGAGGGGATAAGTGATAGTCTAAGTGAAAAGAACAAACCCAGAAGTTCTTAAAATGATTGATAGATGCGAGGTTTGAGATGGAGTGGATATTAGCCCTTTGCATTCCTGAGCATAAGAGGTCATGGGAACATATGAAAGAGCTAATTATAAATATGCACAGAGATTAGATAACAGAAGTGAGAACAAATCGATATAAATAGGTGTGATGGGGGGGCAGGTGAAGTAGACTTTAATAACCTTGCTCAAAATAGACTCTGCAGGTAAGAATAATAATGGCAGATGCCTACACAGTGTTTCTCATGTACCAGGCGAGGTGGTTTAAGTGCTTGAAGTACATTACCTTGTAATCCACACAAATGTGCATGGTGTAGGTATTATTATTATCAGCGACATTTAACAGGTGAGGAAATAAATAGAGAAGAAAAGTAAGTTTTTCACAGGAAACACAGCTGGTCATCCTCAAACCTTAATTTAAACCGAGGCAGTCCTTTCCACAGTCAGTGCTCTTAACTACATAACTACCTCTAACATGCTTTCTGGGAGCTCTGGTAGCGTAGTGCCTAAGGCACTTGACTGCTAACCAGAAGGCTGGCGGTTCAAACCCACCAGCCACTCCTCAGAAGGAAGGTTGGGCAATCTACTTCTGTAGTGATACCGCCTCGGAAACCCAAGGAGGGGGGGTCGCTGTGAGTCGGGTCCGACTCGACGGCACATATCAACAACAACAACATGCTTTCTGTTCTTGAAACTAATGATTTTTGTTAAATTTTGTAGGTTCCTTTCAGTTTTATTCTGCAGGGTCACTGTTTTTAGAAGAAACATAAATCTGACCACAGTAGGTATTTATTGAACACTTGCTATATCCCAGATACTTTGAAGATCTGGGCATATAACAGTAAAGGAGGAGGTGACACAATTTGCCCTCATGACCCTAAGAGAAAGATGTCTACTTACATTTCAGTTGCTATTCCTGCCTGCCAAAAACCAAACCCTGTTGGTGTCTCTCATCTGACTCACAGTGATTCTATAGCAGTAAGTAGTACTTCTCCATAAGGTTTCCAAGACTGTAAATCTTTATGAAAACAGACTGCCACATCTTTCTCTCACGAGTGCTTGATGTATTCAAACCACCTACCTTTCTATTAGCAGCCAAATGCTTTAACCACTGTGCCACCAGAGCTCTGTTTATTGCTGCCTAACCACCCCAAATCTCAGTATTTTAATCATCCTTATGCCTCTACAGATTAGCTGACCTAGGCTTGGCTGTGTGGCTCTGCTTTAAGCTGGGACTCTGACTGCATTGGCTACTCATTACAAGTTGAGCATGGGTCAGCTCCATCTGGATTCATCCAGGGGCCTGAAGTGGAATACAAAAAGTTGTTGAAGAGAAGTTCTCATGGTGGTGAAGGAAGCACCAAAAAGCAAGCTTAACCACACAGGCGTGGTTTGTCCCTCTGCATGTATCACATCTGCTAACAGTCCATTGGCCAAAGTTTCATGGTCAAGGCCAGTGTCAATGGGATGGAACACTAAACTCAGTCCTTTGAAGGCGGGTACCTTTGAGTTCAATTTCCACAGTTCATTTACCCTTGAAATGGTGAGCCAGTCCATTTGTCTTTTGTTTCCACTTACCTATGGGCCTGCTTGGTAGTCTTTGCTTTGTCACTGCTCCTTCCCTTCTTGCAGTACCTCTTCTGGTGTGGATGCTCTAGAAGTAAACATAAGGGTAGCAAGAAAGTGCTTCCTTGCCAGCCCACGAGCTCTTGCCTACCTCAGTCTTCAAAAGGACGTAGCAGAAATCCCCTGATCTAAAGGAAAATAGAAAATAAAGCCTGATGATGAGAAGTTAGCCAGTGACGGAGGTAAGGGAAAATCGGCTGTGTTAAAGCTTTCCACTCTATCAGGATAAGTTTCCCATCTCACTCTCTCTGGAAATT